AAAAATATTTTGGAATGAAATTCTTTATTAAAAACAAAAAATTGTATTTATATAAGTTCCCTTCTTAATTCTGTAATTTTCTTTTCATAGCATAATGAAATTTTAGTCTTATTAAGTAATAAAGAAATCCATCCGTATAATTATGAAAAAAAAAAGAACAGAAACAACCATAACTAGCGGAAACCATGTTTTATACTCTAATAATTTTTACTTATTTAATAAATATTATAATAAATATAAAAATAAGTTGTTTCATTTCTATGACATAAAACTAGCAAAGGCAGCGTGAGTTTTAGCCGGTAATTTTTACACCTTTGACAATGAGGAGGAAACTTGAAATAGGGTCACTTTGAAAGTCCCAAAAACTTATAAAAAATGCGGACTATTTAGTGGTATAGTCTTGGAAAAGTTGGAATTCACTGGAATTTTTTTTTTTTTTTTTTTGATAGAGAGATTAAACCAATATCGAATTACAGCTAAATTAGATTTACAGCAAATGTTAACCAAATTGTTAAATCTGTTATTAGGACCTGCGATGGAAGCGCTGTTGCAACTTAAACAAGTAAGCAAAGGCTATAGTCGTGCGGGGCTGACTATGTTATGCCCTACAACACTACATATGTTAAAAGTCCCCTTATGTCCAAATCCATATTGGAAGATTTCTCTTCTGAAATAAGGATTTTGACTAGGGACATTTCTGTTTTTGGTTAATTTGAACCCCTAAATATATTGCGATCATCTCTAAAAGCAAGAAGCCCCTCTGTATCTCCAAACTTTAACTCATCTATATGATTTGCTTGTCTACGATATTTGGCTATGATCGTCAACGAAATCAGCATAAAAAGCCAGAAGTTCGCTTTTGTGTATTTCAGATATCGCCTGTAAATAATGTGGTATTTTTTCACACAAAATTAGTGGTAAATTGTACCCGCTGTCCTAAACTCTAACTTTATGCGAGATTTCGTGTCCTTTGGTTTCTATTTGTGACCTTTGTAACGGCTGCAAAATCAGGAACATTTTTAGTTGTTGGTCAATTTCAACTCCTAATATATTGCGGACATCTTTGAAAACAGTAGGCCTAGCCCTTCTGAGCCCAACCCTACTCTTGTGAAAAATTTTAGTGAGGATCGGACGATATTTGCAATACCTATATAAAATCCCCAACCCGTGTTGTAAGGTGAAAAAATATTATAAGTCAATTTGAAAAAATCGCATGCGATAAAAAATATGAAAAAATAAAAATATGTCACAAAATACTACAAAATCTATATTAACATCATTATTGGCATATTTTTCTGCGATTTTTATTTTTAGATTTTATACTTTTATGTCAAAAGGGCATTCTGAATCGACAAAATTTGTCAAAATCGGTCCAGCCATTCTTGAGATATAATCATTTTAACTAACATCCCCTTCTTTTATATTTACACATTGTATATATTTCGCTATATATAACCGATATATTTACTATCGACATCTACGTAACGGTCAGAATTGACCTGTTCGTCTATTTGTGATTTCGCCGAGATTAAAATATTAGCGGTTTAATGGAAAATTTGACTTTTATTTAGCACAAATGTTGTGGCCTATTTCACCCACTAAATAATAACCGATGACCATCAAAATTGGAAGGCTTCTGCCAACCCTAAGCTCTAGCCCCATGCTAACGTATGTTTCTATTAGTCTATGATTGTGACCTGTAGAGCAACTGCAAAATCAGGAATTTTTTCAGTTTTTGGTCCATTTCAACCCCTAAATATTATGCGATCATCTCCAAAAGAAATAGGGTTCTATTCTGACCCTAGCCCCACCTCCATTCTAAATTTCGGGCCATAATTGTGACCTGTAGAGTGATTACAAATTAACATGGACAGACGGACGGACGGACGGACATATATAGCTAGATCGACTCAGTTCGGTGAGATAGGAAGATCCATATATACTTTCCCCAAATGTTGGACCTATATACGATGGCATTTCAGAAACTTCTTAACCTAGCACAAAAAAACGCGGTATAAACAGAAAAAAGATAAGTGTTTAGGAAACTTTTACCTCTGTTATGAACAGATGTTAAATTTTGGTTCGATCTGGCAACTCCTTTATATAGAACAGGTGTTCGAAAAGGACGCATCGCCATATTTTTCTACATTGGAAAATTTTGAAATACGTGCTGTCATTAAATATTTAAATAACAAGTAAAAAAGTATCAGTAAGTTTAGCCGACAGATGTATACCCTCAGGCAATGTTTGATTATTTAAATATATTTGACTTGTGTTATGATTATTCAAATTGTTGACCCTATATTGGGAAGGTTTCGAAGGAATGAATCAATATTGTCCATTTTATATCGGTCCTAAAAAAATATGATATAAATATTGCGACGTGTCAGGTTTCGACTCTATTGGTTACTTCCTTCAGTTTGTATGAAATATGTGATAATTTTCAGATGGTGTTAAATGTGCGTGAGGTATCAAATATAGTCGACTGAAGTTTTCCATTTTCATACTAATAAAAATATTAAGTCAATACTACAAAAATAGAACATTTATATTAAATTTTATGAGAAATCATAAAATCCATTTGCATCTCAAGTTTCGGGTTGAGGGACACATTTAGATATAGAAAGTTGTAAAGAATCGCTGACTTGTTTCGCAATTTATGACAGATCAAACTATTGAAAATTGTGATCCTTTGTGGGTAAGGTACCAAAAGGGATTCGCAGATATATATCATCTTCACAACAGATCTTGTATTAGTAAAAAATTTGTGTGTGTGATATTTGATGAGAGTTTGAGTTGAGTTTGAGAGTATTTCGCTTTCCTTGAGAGTTTTGTTTTTCAAAATCTTGAACCCTATGTGGGGCAGGTAGCAAAAGAAATGGTCCGATCTCTACTATCTTATCTTGATGGAAATATTGAGATGTACCAAGACTGGAATGGAATCGGTTGTTTGTGGGCAACAGACCTTGTGTAAGTAGAAATAACGGTATGTGTGAAATATAGATAACCCGATGCTTTTCGCAGTTTATGACCTTCATGGATATTCAAAATGTTGAACCTTTGTTCGGGAGGTACCAGAAGGAATGGTCCGATCTCTACTGTTTTTATAACATGTCCTATATTTCGACCTTTTGTGTGGGAGGTACCAGAAGGAGTGGACCAATATATTCCGTCTTAATAAAAATATTGTGGTGTGTGAATTTTGAAGACAATCTGACTCTTGCATTACATGTTATAAGAGTTGTAATTATTCATAATTGTGACCCTTTTTTGGAGGAGGTGCTTGATGGAGTGGACCGATATTGTCCATTTTCGCACCTGACATAGAACTGACGCAAATATTAGGATTTGCAAAGTTGAAGCAAAATCGGATTATCGTTACTCTTTCTGTGCAGAAGGAGTGGACCGATATCGCCCATCTCCGAACTCGATCAAGTTTGACAAAAATATTACGATGTGCCAAGTTTGGACCAAATAGGACGTAGATAGATCGACTTCAAATGTCCTGAAACGGATTTGGTCCAAAGACACCTAGGGTCTAAAACCCTTATTTTGAATAGGCACGTTTTGAACGTATCAAATGATATATAACCTCTCTGGGTATAACTAGCCATATGGCGGAGGGTGTAAAAAAGGTTTGTCGGGACAAGAAATTCATAATATGGTGAATGTGCAATAGTAGAAAATTGGTTTGCTGAATTTAAACGTGGTCGTACAAGCATTGAAGATGGACCACGTAGTGGACGTCCAAAAACAACGACAGAAATTGTAGCCAAAGTGCATGATATGGTATAAAATAATCGGCAAGATGGGTGCCACGATTGTTAACAGTCCATCAAAAACGCATAAGAATGAACATTTCTCAAGCTTGTTTGGATCGCTTTCAGCGAAATAAAATGGATTATAGGCGACGTCTCATAACTGTTGATGAGACATAGATCCACCACTATACTCCAGAGACAAAAAAAGAACAATCCAAACATGGGACTGAAGCAGGAGGAAGTGCCCCAAAGAAGGCAAAAACAATTCCATCGGCTGGTAGGGTTATGGCAACGGTATTTTGGGACTTCAAAGGTATTTTTGTTGATTGAATATCAGCAAAAGAGTAAAACAAGAAATTCAGAGTACAATTACAATCTTTTGGATTAATTAAATGTACAATTTCGAAAAAAACGTCCTGGATTACAAAACAAAAAAAAATAATTTTTCATGACGACAACGCATCAGCGCAAGATTGTTTTTATAATGGCTAAAATCAACGAATTAAAGTACGAGTTGCTTGATCACCCACCTTATTCTCCTGATTTAGCTCCCAGCGACTTTTACTTGTTCCCAAATCTAAAAAAATCCTTGCTGGCAAGCGTTTTACCTCAAATGAAAATTCAATTACAGTTGTAATCCACAATTTTGAAGACCTTGAGGAAAACTATTTTAATAAAGGGATATAATTAAAGTTTCAGGAGTTTATATTATTTATATTATTATTATATTATCTTTCATTGATAGGCTAAGAAGTTTCCGAGCCGCCCTCGTAAGCATCGAATTATCAAACATTCAAATAAATGAAGATAGGCTAATGTTTTATATATGTTGGCACACCGTCTAATATTTTCTAATCTTTCAATTTACCAAAATTTTGCAGTACTAAATTCTTCGTTATATGGAAAAGTTTTAATTCGTACCAGAATATCTAAAAGATAATCATAGTTTTGTATTTCCAGAACATTTCTGATTTAAAAATTATTGTTTTTTTTTTTTTTTGCTTATTCATAAATCCAAAAAAAACGACTCGAGTACATGAAAATGTTAGGTAACATAATCTCATATCAGGGTAAATGTTTCGTTTTACATTTTATTTTGAAGTACTTATTTCGTTTCGATACATAATAATGCATTTTTCAACCTAGTTTTTAGTAAATTATTATATTATTATATATTATATTAAAATTATATAATATTTCTAATATTAATTTAAAAAATTACTATTTATTGTTCGTAAACTCATCACTTACCCTTAATCTATTATCACCAACTGTCCACACTCGTGCTCCGTAATCATTTGATGTGCCTATAATGTAGGTGCCGGTGGAATCAAAATCGACGGAATTAATACCAGCACTGCTGCCACCCAGAACGGAACGTGGTTCCGATGAGCCTGAGAATTAAATATAGAATATGATTTAGTATTGAATTAATTATAAAAATATGTGTTCACATTCAATAGCATTTCCGTAAACAGAGGAATTTGGAAGGTGCTATTTAAAACAATTTCGAAAAAATTTGTAATACTATTTTTTTTTTTTTTTTTTTTTTTTTTGGTGAAAATAGTACGTATTAGAAATCTGTCCTTTTTGTACCAAATTATACTATTTTGAAATCCAGCCTGTCAGCGAATAATTAATACGGTAATTCTAATTCAGTTAGTAGATCTAAAGCACAAACCGGTCAGTAAGTAGATCAAACCCACAAAAAGGTTTTTGATGTATAACCTTTGAGCAATACTTTGAAAATTTAAGGTAGATTTTTTCAAATTTGCTTAAGAGCTTTGGTTTTCTTTGTCTAGAAACATTGGTTTTATCGTTCCACTATTCGCTATAAACCTCATAGAAGGGCGAACCCCGATTTCAAATATGTTTATGTTTTAGTTATTACCTGAATATGTTTAAACTCTACTTGCATATGCACCACGTTTGGGTATAGATTATTTAAAAAATCATTAATTAAAAAAATCATGTCGATCTCTTCTTGGTACATAAGGGTAACGATTTTAAGCATTTTTTACGTTCTAACAATATTTTCCATTTAATTTCGTCAAATATTTGTATTTTGAATTCTTATTATGAGAAACTCTACTTGCAGATATATATACAGGGTGAGATGAAAAAACTGCAACATAAGACTGTCATTTCAAAGCCACTCGTCCGACAGCTGTTAAAATTATTCCAGTGATAGCTCAGTATATTGTTTACAAGCGTACAAAAGCATTTTGGTGAGAATTTTCCGAAAAAAAAAATTGTTCATGATGGAATTCAAGCATGGCTATCGTTATAGCACTTCAGCATTTAAATGTGAATACATATTCTGTGTCTCGTACCATCGCTCGTTACCGTGATACTGGTAGCGTAGCCCGACGTCAAGGAAGTGGACGGAAGAAAACAGCAACATCAGCAGAAATGGTTCGAAAAGAAAAGAAGATGCTACTTGATCAAAACCCGCGTCGCAGTGGCCGAAAAATGGCTCCATTCGGCAAATATTGAAAAATTAGCTCGGGGTAAAGCTATTGAAATTCCAAAGAGTGCAAGAGCTTACACCGCAACAGAAAGAAAATAGTCTCAAAAGAACTTCCCTTGGCCGAAAGTGGTGAACTACCGAATTTGGTTTTCTCCGATGAGAAAACATTCCTTGTCCATCAGTTTGTAAAAAAATCAAAGTGATCGTGTTTACTTGCTAAAGAGGTCAGCTGAAAATGTGCACCTTCGGTTGGCCACCCGAACCCAAGGTTCGGCCATTGTGATGTTGTGGGCCGTCATAACAGCCGATGGTCGTTCTCCGCTCGTATTAATCGACCGTGTCATCAGAATAAATGCCGAATATTATCGCGAAAATATTCTGTAGGGTGTATTAAAGCCTTGGCCACACAAACATTTTGGCCGCAGACCTTGGACATTCCAACAGGGCTCAGCACCATCGCACGCAGCACGCGCCAACCAAGAATGCGTTCAAAATAAGGTTCCTCGCTTCATTTCCAGCGCATAATGGCCACCACAATCTCCGAATACCAATCCGTTGGACTATTGCGTCTGGAGTATTTTGGAAAGCAAGGTTGGCACTAAAAAATACCAAAGTGTCGATCACCTTCGCCCGTAATGGGCCAAAATACTGCAGAGCAACATTCGGGCAGCGTGTGACGGTTTCATTGGCCGTTTGAAGGCCATAATTCGTGTCAAAGGTGACCAATTCGAACAAATCTAAACTTATTCAAAAATGTGATACTATTTCCTACATTTTTTGATTTTATTCAATAAAATTTAAAACAAAAAATGTAAAAATTATGGCGTTTGACTTTGTTGCAGGTTTTTTATCTTGCCATGTATATCTACTAACTCTAATTAGATCTAATATCAATTAAGTGAACCTACATAAGATATACCCACAAATGAATGGTCATAGGCCGAGGGCTAATTTGTTTACTTTATCTGTAGAACTTACCTTTCCCCACGTCCCACAGCTTGACTTTACGATCGGCCCCACCGGTTGCAATGACACGTTCAATCGGACTCCAACGTACCGCATGCGATTCAGTTTCGTGGCCTCAAACTTCATATAGATATTGGTAGGATTCGCACTCTTCATATAGCTACCCATGCCGCCAGTATGGAAGGGATCTTGCGGTGAACCATACATCTCAGCATCACAGCCGGTCTCAATGTTATGATCACCACTAAGCGTGTCACGATCACTATCGTCGTATGCGTCTCCACCCGCACCGCCGTGTATTGAGGAGCCCGATGAGTTACGATGATGGGTAAATGATGAATTGGGTTCACGGACAGCGTCTTCGAGTTCACGTTTCAGTTTATCGGAACGTTTTCTGAAAATTGACGGCAGTCTTTTTCTAGATATCGTAAAATTACAGATGGAATTTGTGTGTATGTTTTGTAATTTTGGAATTTTGAGTGTTTGCATTTTTTTGTTTGGCCAAATAGGGATATATTCGAAAAGTTTGAATTGTTCATTTTTTTTTTTTTTTGCAACATTTTATATTGAGTATTGTTGGTTGTATTTGAAGTTGGTATTTTATTTAATTATTTATTCATTTTGGGATTATCATCAACATTTACACACATACACACACGCACACAAACACACATAAGAAAAAAATATGAAAAAAGAGGAGAGAAAGAAAGAAAAATAGTGTTGGTTTCTGTTGGTTTTCCATTTCTTGATTAAAAAATAAATAAATAACATTACTGCTTGGACCCATAAACGAAGGTCCGTTTTAGTTTAAAATTTCAAGGATTTTTTTCTAAATTCGAACAAATTTAAGCGTTTTGGTGGTAAATTGGTGGATTATTTTGAGGGTAATGATTTTTCAATTTCAAAACGGGGATTTATCGATTGTTTGTTTTATTGAGTTGTCATTCGATGCATAACATATTTGTAAAAAACGAAGGTGATGGAAAAATGCCATTTGTGAATTAGTAATACCCAAAAAAAACATGATGTGAAATTCGAAATGATTCAATGTCGATAAAAACAGCTTTATTTCCAAGCTTTAAACCGAAACTGACATGTATGTGGAAATGGATTTTCATGCATTTCCTTATTTTTTATGAAAACGACAAAACCGGTGATAATGAATGGTGGTAAAATGAGAATTTTCATATTATTTTTATCATGTGATCACATTTAACCTGTTTCCTTAATAATGAAATTATTTAATGGTATATATTTGAAAGATTTTATTTTATTGTACCGCCTTTTATGTGATTCCACACAGCACAAGAAACTCTGGTCAGAGAATAAGAAACTCCGGTCAGAAATTTGAAAATTAATGTGCTGTGAGAGATCATGTATATATAATTATGGACCGTTTATAACAATTGTTATGAAGGTTGTCGAAAAACAGGAAATAATAAAACAGTCTAAAACAGGAAATAACCTATTGCTGCGGTATTGGACTTTAACCTCAAACCTAGAAACTGGGCTGTTATACGAAACAGTGATCGTCCGTGTTTGATTTGTCCTGATCGGATGCATTTAAAAAGATGTCTAAGCGCTCCTATCTGATGAAGATTTCTGTTCAACACACTATTACGGGGAACGTCCGGCAATAGCGTGAAGGAGTCCAGATATCACCACCAATACCTATAACATAAAATTATTCAAAATGATTAACAGCGGGAGCCATTTAGTAGGAAGGTGGATTGGCAAACCTGGTTGAGAATATTTGTTGAGCAGACTGCAGCAAATTGCACATTGCATTGAACAAGTAAAAATGCTTTAAGTTCGGCCGGCCGAAATTTAAATACCCATTTAGAACGAATTTGGAAATTTCAAAAATAAAATAAAAAAAATTAAAATACAGGGTGTAGCCGTTACATTAGGGTCTATACGACGTGGACCTGGCATAGGCAATTTTGTCATAAGCCATAAAATATTCAAATGCGAAATTTGAAAAAAATCGGTGAATAATGTAGCTAAAATATAAAAATACCGATATAGAGAGGTACTATTACAAGGTCTATACCAAAACGCAGACCTGCGCAGGCAATTGTTTGAGTAGGCTGTAGTATCCATTACGAACTCCAAATACAAAATTTGAAACAATTCCGGTGAACAATGTCGCTAAAATCATCAAAATACTGAATACAGATAGGTACTATATATGTGGGATATACCAATACGTGGACCTGAACTGACAATTTTCTGTAATAGACTGTAGTATCCACGATGAACTTCAAATGCAAAACTTGAAACAATTCCAGTGACTAATGTAGCAAAAAACCATCAAAATACCGAATATCGGGAGGTACCGTTATATGGGGGCTATACGAAGGCATGGACCCGCACAGACAATTTTCTGTCTTAGGCTGTAGTATCCATTACGAACTTCAAATACCAAATGTGAAACAATTCCGATGAATAATGTCGCTAAAATCATGAAAATACCGAATATCCGGAGGTACCGTTATATGGGGGCTATACGAAAACGTGAACCGACATGGCCCATTTACAAACTTAACTATGCATTTATTCAAAATTTTAGCCTTCTTTCTCAATTAGTTCGAAAGATAGCCTGATTCCAACAGACAGACGGACATCAATAGATCGTCTTAGAATATTACGCTGATTCAGAATATATATATTTTGTAGGGTCTTTTATGAATATTTCGAGGAGTTACAAACAGAATGACAAAGCTAATATACCCTCCATGTAGGGTATAAAAAGTGAAAAAGGGATTTGACAACGAGGTATAAAGTCAGATTAGCAAACAGTATGAGATAGTATCGACATTTATTAAAAAGGTGGGCAGTGCTGATGTATATCTCAAGTCGGTACGCATGTCCTCTGAGGAACTATATTGATCCCCAAGATACAGATTGTGAATCTGCTTCTATTCCACCTATACACCATTGTCGAAGTTGGAAATACGCTACGACCGAAGCCAATTCTGTGAGAGCAACCACAAAAATTGAGGATTTGGAGAAAATATAGGGACATATTGCCAAACTCCAAAAGAGAGGGTTTCGGCGAATTTGACGCTTCAAAAAAAAAAAAAAAAAATATTAAATAATTAAAAACTCAAAGGAAGGAAACAGGCAAATAGAAAGGCGGATGGACATTAAGGATAAGTATTCGTCGAAAGTTAATTTGACTAGCGGGGATTTTTATATCTCCAAAATGAGATGGACTTCCTCATAGGTAGGTACCTTCTTCACTCTGCAAGATATGAGGATACATATTCTTACAGTTCTCTCTGAGGAAGCACATCGTAATCGGAGGGGAAAAAGTCTGTTCCTTATATGAAAACGTAAGATAGAAGATGAGTTTCAAAATAACGGCACTGATATATATCCTGTCACCAGTTTACTGGTTCACCTGCTACCAATGATCAACAAGTAAAAAAACGAACTTTTAATACCTTCCACCATTTGAATAGACTTGAAAATTAAACAAAATCCGTCGAAAAATACCGTTTAATTAAATACTGTTATACACAAACGAGGAACTGCATAAGTAATTTTTTTCATAAACTGTAGACTATCTTATCCAGTGAATACAAAATTTGAAACAATTCCGATATAATATCATTAAGATCATCAAAATACCGAATACTTAGAGGTACCGTTACATGGGGTCTGTACGAAAACATGGATCGACATGGCCAATTTACTTAACTTCCTACTATAAAAATGCAAATGTGAGCAAAATGTTAGCCCTCTATTTCAATTCGTTCCAAAGATTAGGCTGGTCCAGAATATTTATACTTTGTAGAGCCTATATTAGTATTTCGAGCAATTACAAACGGAATTATAAAGCTATATACCCTCCATAGAATGGTGGAGGGTAACAAATTACCAGTGGCTTACGAATATCAAGAGTAACGTTCACTGGATA